GCTATATGTGATTCTAGATAATCCAAGTACTGCAGTAAATCTACGTAACCGTTTCAAATTAGGCGTCAGAATGGAAAGAGATATGACTAGTATATAGTAAATACAAATTGAATATAAGTTGAATATAGCCTTTAAATCACCCCTAGTACTCCTAACCGACCCGAAGCTGACTTGGTTATAGTAAATTTAATATATGGGTCATGACCCATATATTAAATTTACTATAACTAAGTCAGTTTCGTTAGGAGCACTAATCACCCCATTCTAATCCTTTTTTCTTTAATATTGAAATTCTCGATAGTAACTAATTTTTTGTTAGCATGTCATGATTCTTTTATTCTACTTCATTTTATTTTACAAAAGGAGTAATTTGCTAGAGTGGATCGCATGTAATGTATGAACTATATGTACGTATGACGTACGTACGTGCTTACGTACGTGCTTACGTAATCTCTATCCTCAATAGCTGATAAGACCTCTCATTATTCTTAACGTAAAAGTGGACCTTGAAATCTGGCAAACAACAATACTCGATTATAGCATTTTCAATACCGTATCCTATCGTGAATAAGCACTACACCCTCTACCCCACTTTTTAAATATCAGATTAGCGGTAATAATTTGGCTAAAGACTTCATTGCGATTTCGGTTAATCTGACATTTAAAAATTGGGTAGAGGGTGTAGTGCTTATTCACGATAGGATACGGTAATGATAACTTAATTATAACTGATTAGGCGCAAGATTAATATTATAGTTCCACATGAATCTTTCGCTACATCAAACCATAATAATATTTAACTTGATCGTAAAGCCAATCTATTGATCTATTGATAATCAAGTAATTACCGGTTTTTTAGTCTCGATTTTTAAATAATTTTCTATTTCTGATCCTTTAGCCCTAGCGCTAGCTGGATCGGAACGCTCATTTCTGTATTTAGAATAATTCCACCATAATTGGTTCTAAACACCTTACCTTGGATATCAAATTATCCGAGCAAGTCTGGCCATATTTATATATTGTACAACTGACATGATTTTTTTTTGCTGACACGATAATCATTCCACCAATCATATGTTAGTTTATTAATAAGTGAAAATTTGTCAGAAATTAAACATGATTCTTGTATACGTACTCGGAAATATGGTTCTGGGGCAAAACGAAACTAGTAAGATCAGACACGCGCTAATATTATAATATTCGGATTCGATTATTATTGGTTGAGAATAGATTTTCTCAATGTGAATCGGCTAGTCGTTTCTTAAAAAGCAAAGATTATTGTTGTATGCACCACTAAATCGTAAGGGCATTACATTTGTGGGCGCATTGTAGGTGCATTTGTGAAAGTGTGAAAGTTAGAGCTCACAATTATCGAAAAAATAGGATTGTTGGGTTAAATTTCTCGCCGAAGTTCGGGAAAATTAGACACATAATAAAAATATAAAACCAATTAATGTAAATTCTCAATTATCAATTACTTGCTTGACAACCTGATTCTATGATAACATGAAAGGTATTGTTTCAATTTATCATAATCAAACATGTGAAATGAGTGTACCATTATTGTGCAAACCTAAATGTTTAGATCACGCAAAGTTAATTTTTCGTTATACATAACATGGAATCAGAAAAATTGATCGGCAGGCGTATTTTTTTTATTTTTATTTTCTTTTTTTATCGGTCCTATAGGATGATTCCAGGAAATTAAGGCCTCCATTGGATAAAATTATGAAAAAAAATTTTATGAAAAATGAGTCGGCAGATTATGCGAAATGAAAAATCAAGTTTTATGTGGTTTTACATTAATTTAATTAATAAATAAATAAATAACTGATAAATAATATACCAAATTTTGTTAAACCTTATTTATGTTGTTTCTCAATTATTTCAATTAATAGAATTAATTGTCAGAGACGAACATGAGGGTAGTTCTTATAACTATTTTCCATAAAAAAAAGGGTGGTTGCCAATTCCTGGTTTTCTTTTGACATGAAGGTTATTTTTTTAGCAATTATAAAATTTTAAAAACGATAGAGGGAAACAACCTTTATGTTTGAAAATTAAAACGTTCATTCCCACGTGACAATCAACAGTCAATTAGCCAACAATCAATCACGATTTAGTGTAACATAATGCGACAAAGAAATGTCCATTTTGAAAAAAATGGAAAATTTCGATTAAGAAACTATCTTTTAAGATTAACAAAAGGTAAATTTATTATTAAACTGCAAATATTTAACCCTAATCTAAATATAAATCATATTAACCCTAGTCTAAACAAATTTTAAAGAATTTTTTTGTTCAAGGAGTGATGAAATTATTTTTGCGATGATGAAATTGGTTCGTCTGATAAAACCCTGACGATTGTTGAAACCTTTGACAATTGGCGAAATCTTGACGAAGCCTGACAATTGACTAACCACTTAACGAAAACAACATACAGTCGACTCTCTTTCAACAAGCATCTCTATATACATAACCAAGAAAACTTTATCAAATACGTATAAACCCGATTATTAATAAATCATTTCTTAAATCACTATACAACATGTACAATTGATTTAAAATCATTGATATTTGGTTTTATCAAGATTTGAATAGAGTTTGGAGCCGGCTTTATTTGTCATATGTTGAAACCGACCAAACCGGGTTTAGCATATGAAAAATAAACCGGTTTGAAACTCTAATTTGAGATCAAGTTTTTGCTTGATTGTACTGAGCACTATCCCTGAATAAATTAAAGGGTAATTTACATATAAGGCCCGAAAATGATAAGGGCCCAAAGTGAAAATAATTACATATGAGGGCCCAAATTTTGAAAAATATTACTATCAAAGGTCCATAAGATTGTAAATTTTTAGCGTATGAAAAATAATAAATGTAATTGTCTTTTGACATTACTTTTTAATCATTATTGCATTTATTCTCTTGGCGTTTTTCATGTAAAAATTATAACCACTTTCGTCGATTTTTAAGCTTCTTCGGTTCTAAATATCTTCGATTAATGCATAGTAACAAAATATGATAGAATAAACATATTAGTTTAGAACCGAATAAACTTCACAATATCAATATATATCGTATTTAACCTAGTCAAATTGTTTCTTAGTTAAAAGAAAGTTCATTAAGCGAAAGGTAAAGTATAAAATGTATAAATCAATATATATGTATAGTTATAACGTTCGAAGAACCACTATCATCATAACGTAAAGTTATTTTGGCCCTTAATTATAAATTTTTTCAAAATTGGGCCTTTATATGCAATTATTTTCAATTTAGGCCTTTATTTATAATTATTTTCATTTTACGGGCCCTAAATTAAACTTTAAATTTTTTTCAAAGGTAATAATATTATTTCATTATAAAGAAAGTTTCATTGACTTTATATAAAAGCTTATTAATTTTTATACTTATTTTAAATTAATAATATGGTTTAATAAAGCTATAAATGAATATAAAACTATTGAAATACTATAGATAAATTATTAAATTCTCATTAACATTATTTCTTCTAGCACGTGGAATTCTAACTAATATATTCATGCACTGTATTTGAATTATTATCAACGTACTTATCTATTCTATTTAACTGTTATCATTATTTTCTATCTTTCATTAGGCCTGTTCATCAGGTTTCGTCATAGGTTTTGTCTCGTCATGAGTTTCGTCAATCGTCTATTAAAAGTCATATGACGAATGATTTTGTCATCAGAGAAGCTATCTTGACCATGGGACCGTTATTTGTGAATAACATAATATAATGATTATGAGAGATGATGTTTCACAAAATTTTGAGAATGTATTTAGAATTGGAATTTAAATTGATTGAGTAATAGATTTAGGTTATTATTATTATGTTACAATTTAAGTAAAGCTCACTTACAAAATATACACCTTAAATTCACAATAAAACGCCAGTCAAGGATTAAGGACTATAGCCAATAAAATCAGTATATGTTTTCATGTGGTAACTAGTACGTACTTATTTGATAATAAGATACTGATAATCTGAAAAATCGGTTATCAATTCTATATCTAGTTTTCCAGTGTACCTGTTTTCTTTATACAACACCATTTGGATATAGTAAGCCATCAAATTTATCGCTTAAAGCATAATGACGTAGATTGCTTTTTTTTAAAAAAATTGGCGTAGTTTATACAACAAAGTTCCATTAAAACATAATACTGAAATAGGTCTAAAAAATTGAAAATTTATCTTAAATAGATATCGGCACAAAATTTGTATTACACCACCATAGATAGAGTTCAGAAATAATGGTTGCTGTACATGTGAGACTTGGGTGCGCGGCGCACTATTTAACTCAAAATTATATGTAGTCATAAAATTTATTAATGAAGATTTTGGATTTTGATCTTTATATAATAATTCTTCGCAAATTTAAATAGAGTACTTAAATAACGGTTACATAGTTTTGGTTAAAGGTTTGTATCTTATTTAGAACTATTATAATAAAATAAAATATAATATTGTAATAGAATTTCTATATAAATAGTTATAGATTAATACATCATTTTTTAAATAGCAAATATGTCTGGTTTATAACTAATTATATATATAAATACGTATATTAATTGTTCTTAGCTATGTTTTATATTATTTTAAGAGCTTTTGGTTTTTACAAATTTAAATAAAGATAAAACAAATATTATTTTAATGGTTTGGATTTACATTTTTGTACTAGTTCTAGTACATTTTAAAAAAAGTATAAAAAATCTAAAAAATTAAAAAGTTTAATTTTTTTTATATACAAAAATCTGATAAATCTTCAAAAATTGTTTAATAGTATAATTAATATTTTTAATAAACTTTTAACTTTTAATCTGATGCACAAACTTTAACTAATAATAATGAGTTAAATAATTGAGTTAAATAATTTTTAAAAAATAAATAAATAAAGTATTGAACATAAATTACATTTTTTCTTTCTAAGTTTTTATATTCTTTAAAAATTGAATAAACTTGTTTAATTGATATTAGAATGACATTACCAGATCCAATATGGTATTTGTTTATTAAATTAGGTTACATACCTGATTATAAAAAAAAACAAAGTAAATGTAAAGTATGTGAATAGCAAATTAATGATTCACTTAAGGCAGCATATACACATGTTCAACAATGCACTAAAATTTCATTAGAACAAAAAATATATATATTGGTGACTTATATGAAGAAGGCAATACTGATACATCTATACAAAAATTTACTTCATCAGCTTCATTATTTTTAATATCAATATCTTATAAAGTTGATCATATCACAAAATCAGAATAGAATTCACTTGAATTAGCATTTGCAAAATTAATATTTTACTGTGGTCTTTTTTTATCATTAACTGAAATGGAACTTGTTAAAGATTTATAGAAAAGGTAAGACCTGCATTTAAGTTATCTAGCTGGAAAAATCTTTTTACAAACTTGTTAAATTATGTTTTTAATAAACCAAAAAATGAAGTTGTAATTTTAATTAACAGTTGTATAAAATATGTATCTAATATTATATGAATAGTCAAATTTGTTACAAGAAAATTGGACCAATTATATTATTACAACTTCAAAGCCTGTTTTATTTATAGTATATCCAACTGGTGAAATATAACAAAATGGAAAAGCTATTGCAAAAGATTTAAAAAAATAATTAATAAAATTGAATCAACAAAAATTTCTGATATAATTACAAATAATATCTCTGTAATAAAAATATTATAGTGCTTATTAAAATTTCAATATTTTAATATAATATTTTTAGGTTGTATAGCACATAGCCTAAATCTTTTAATTAGAGATATTATAAAAATATTATAGTGTTGCAATATTTTAAAAAATGCTCATACAATTGTTTCATATTTTTATTTACATTAAATTTCAATAACAATTTTAAAATAATATCATTTTTTTAATATTGGCAGTTTTGTCTCTACTTTATTAGATTTAGTAATATTATATTTTGAAATATTAAATTTTTTAGAGGGCTATTCTCTCTGATATCTAAGTTACAAGTATTAGCTTATCTAGTTGTTCTGTAAATACCTATATGCAATCTGCTATAGTAAGGTTTATCTTTATATTAATTTACTTTGCAAACAAGTTCATCAATACTTTATCAGATAGTTTTTATGGCCTGTCAAGACTACTAAATTATTTTTCACCATTCTGCTTTTTATCTGCTATATCTAATATGGTTTTTTATCTTATTTTGACTTCTTTCTTTTGTTTTTTCTCTTTGTGAGTCTTATCTATTGGATCTTTTTTTTATTTGTCCTCTTTTTTCTTTTCTTCTTTCTTTGTTTTCTCTTGTTATTAGTACTATATTATCACTTTTCTTTTTGTATTATACTATTTTTCTTCTCCTAGCTCTGCACTAACTTGCATCTTTTAACCCAAATCTCCTTATATATCTTTTTTATCTATCTCTTTCAAAGCTTTACTATAAAGTCTTTAGTTTGTTTGTTAAATATGAATATTGGCTATATTTCAGTGAAGTTCTCTTTTGTAATCAAACCTCTTATTTATTTCTGTCTTCTTTGTGACTCTTCAACTAAACTTTATTTTCCCATCATAATTAGGATCTCTTCATTCTTTTTGTCTATGTTTTGCACTTTATTTATTTCTTTAAGAGTCAACTTTATTTCTTTCTTTTTAATATCTCGAATTAGCTTTATCGATACTTCACAACTTATTAAATATTCAATACTTTCCGCTTTCTTTTTGCATATAATATATTTATCAGTTTTGTATATTCCTAGTTTTTTCCAATTGAGCTTTTCAAATACTGACAAAACATTGTTTATACACTTTAATTCAAAGAGCTATATTGTATTTGATCTGTAAGTATAATCAAGCTGCTTAGTTTTACTCTCCATGATTTTATAGAAAATTAGCCAATATTGTAAAGTCACTTTTTTGATGTGTGGTATTCTGATTATTATATAAAAGTTTCTATTCAACTCTATTTATAACTTTTCTAAACATTTTAATAAAAGGGTATATTAGTTTTTCTATAACTTTGTTTTTCCATTTATATCTTAATTTAAATTTCTTTGTATCTAGGCTATAGAAGTTAAGAGCTCTGTGGATTTTGCACCTTCTTTGGCTTTGAGATCTGCCAAATCATTAAAAATATCTCCTGAATAACTTTTGATTTTTGTAAGATACAGGGTTAGTTGCTTTGTTTTGACTACTTCTACTATTATTGCAATTAGGCCACCATTTTTGATCTTAAACTACTGCTTTGCTTTGTTTGTTTTAAGCCCTTTTTTAATTGCAAATATAGCTGCACTCTATCTATTTTTATTTCTACTTCTCTTTGTTAACTATCAGGATTGCTACTAACTTTGCTCTTGTTAATAAGAACTACTTTTCAGTACTACAAGCTATATGACTCATTTTTTAGATCTTCTATTCTCTTTAACTTTCTCTATGCTTAATTTGAATGCATTTGAGTTATCTGTCTCAAGCTTGTATTTTGATTTACTTCTCTTGTTATTAGATTGTTAATCATCTTTTTTTCTAATACATTAAACCAACTTGTTTTTTTTATTTTTAGAATGAGGTTATTTATTAGCTTAATTTGTTTCCAAGTATATATTGATTTACTATCTACTGTTAGAAGCTGTGATGATAACCATAATCCTATTCTGTTTGTATTTGTTTCTTTATAGAAAAACTTGCTTTTTTCTAAAATTCTTGCTATTTTATAATTATTAGCTATTTGAATGAGGTTCATATTTCAACTTTTTGTAAAGTTACTCTTTTCTATTATAAAATCTAAAAATTTTGCTTGCAACAGAATTTGTATACCTAAGTTTCATACTTTTAACTTTCTTTTCACTAAAAGCTCATAATTTGTTAGATGCATTTAGTTAAGCCTGATTTTGTTTTAACTTTATTACTATTGATTTTTCTAATAATCTGCCTGTGTTTGTTTTACTATAAGTTCTAAAAAATAGTGTTTTATATATCTATTTTAGAAAATTTTGAAGTTTACTATCTCTAAATATTTTATTATCGCATTTGCTGTTGTGGATAGCATTGATATTTTCTATTTTGTAAGACATACTATAGGTTGGTATATTCTATCATATTAGGCTTTGTTTAAATATAAGAGCATAAGTCTATATTCTAGTATGGATACAAAAACCACATTGCTTATATATATAATTTGTCTAAGTGATATTTTCTTATATTTGAATAAGCCTGTTATTTTGTTTATTTCTTTTTTTGTCTTATATATATCTAATCTTTGCTGGTTCTTGATTGAAATCCAAACTCCAAAAAAACAAGATGATTCTTTAAACCACTGGCCAGAATTTTTGTTTTGAGTTGCCAGCTCATATAAATAGGTTGTCTTCTATTTTTTTCTTTTTTGGTTTTGCTACTGCTAATTCAGTCTTATTTAGATTTATTTTAATATTATTCAGTTCGTAGAATTCATTTGATATATCGATCATCTTTTGCATACTTTTCTGATTATATATTATTTATATTGTAATATTCACTCAGCTTTTCTATTAGCATCTATTAAATTATCTTGCATTTTGTAATATAAATTTGCATCTTGTACTCTACAAAGGAGTCGGTTATAAAACATTCTCCAAACCAAGGGTGACAGAACCTCTCCTTGGTTTATCATGTTTTTTGCTTCAAACAAATCTGTATTGCCATATTCTGTTATAATACTAAACCTTCTATTTTTATATAAATGCAGTATGAAATTTGCTAGCTTTGGTGAAAGTCTAAATCTTTCTAGAGCTTTTCTCAACACTATTATATTTACTGAGTTGAAGGCTTTCTTTATATCTTGGTATACAATTTATAGTTTTTTTTTTCTTCTACTATTTCTTTAATTATATTGCTTATAATATATATTAGAGCTACTATATATTCTTCAGATAGACCTGCAAAATTTGTATCTTTTAATATATTGTTTTCTCTCTTATAACTTTGTTTAATCTTACTTGTACTATTCTTGTTAATATTTTTCTATATATTTCCAGTAAAGCTATAGGTCTTGTACTACTTAAATTATATTTCTGTAAATTTCTCTTGGGTATTAAATACAATTGTTCTATTTTTTGTTGCAGATCATAATGAAATCAGATTAAAATGAAACAGGAAACCTCTTTTGCTCATCTTTAATGCTTATAAAACCCACTTATACTTTTTTATTAATAAAACTAACTCTAAACTCTAACCTTAATACTAACTCTAACTCTAAAAAATGTCTCTCAAAAAATTTTAAATTTTTCTAAAAAAATAGAAAAGTTTCATTTTAATCTGATTTCATTTTAATCTGCTACATTTTTTACTTGTTTGTGTTTGGTATTTTACTATAAGCTAAAACTGTATTTATAAACATTATTATTCTTTTTGTTAAATTTGCAGACAATTTTTTGAATAATATATAACCAATACAGGATATGACAGATGCCATTTTGTTTTGTGTCTTTCATAGAGCCTAACACCACTTCTTATTGTTAATTATATTTTCATACCAATTTGGATTTATGTCTTTTTTTGGCTCGTATTTTTTTTGCCACTTCTGGCTTATTTTTTTGAATTTATGTTTTCTTCTTCTAAACTGTTTTTAAAAGTATAAAATTACTTGCTGCTTTACTTCTCTTTCATTACTAATGAGCTTTTGATTTTGGTAATGAGAATCTTCTTTTAAGAATACTCTATCTATCTACACCTTGTTGTATAATCTGTTTAAAAGGCTTTGTAGCATTATTTTTTCCCTTTTTTTATTATATTAAAGTGTTGTTCTACTTTGGGGCTAATCTCTTTCTCTTTTTTTCTGTACTCATTCTCTTCTGCTTTTTTCCTTAATACTTTTTCCTAATTTTTTAATTCAGTCACTTCTACCTAGCTTTAAAGTTCTGATATTAGTAGGATTTGTGTTTTGTATAATTGGTTTATATTTTCAATCTGTATATTAAGCTTTAACTAGTTTTTAAAGCTTATTTTTTCTCTATCATATATATAACTATTTTTTTGTAACTAATACAAGAACTTGATTTCTTTATATACTTCATTCTTAGAAACTAAGGTTTTGGCCTGCATCTTAGTTTTTTGACATTAATTCATATAATATATTTATTACTGCTTTTAGTATTGTACTACTTATAATCTCTCACTCTTAATTAATTTTTATTTTACTTTTCTGAGTATTTATTTCAAACAGGAAAGCTACTTTGCTTCTTAAAGTGGCATCTACATATTTGCTATAAGATTCCTGATTTTCTTGTATTGCTTGGTGATATAAGAATACTCTTT